ACTTTTCAATTTATGCACTTAGATTTTTGTTTAGCTCAGAGTAAGCATACTATATTTTCTACTTTTTCACTGAAAAGTAATCAGTATACATATGTGCACATGTAAACAAAATCCATATACATGTAATTTTCCATTGCTACATAATAGTCTATTATGACCCTCTTTAATCAGTTTTTAACCTGTTTTGTATGCCTGGGTATTATTTTTTATTAAATGTTGGGCATCATAAATAATAGAGGTAATTTGGGGATCTATATAGTTTGTCATTGTCCTCTTGAAAATATTTACATTTGTTTCTAACAAGTGGCTAAGGCAGGGAAAAGTAAACTTCAGTTACCCCAAAATTGGTATAAAGCAAGTTATCCATCTTTGTGAAGATATATCTGTCTGGTTCCCACTACCCTTAGGTTATAGCCCTTTGGGTACCATAATGGAAAGCCTCTGGCGTTGTGCCCCGGTCGGTCACAAAATTCCCAAAAGACCACCAAGGAGCTGATTCCGATGCAAGCACACAAGGGTCGCTTTTATTCAGGCTTGAGCCAGGACTCTCAAACATCACTGACACAGTGGATCAGAGTTGAGAGCCCCCGGTGTTAGTTGGGCTGGGTTTTTATTTGGCTATTGGGGGAAGGTCGAGGGGTGCTGAGGAGTGCACTCAGGCAACTAAACATTGGCTGTGGATTTCAAGAAGCATAGTTGTCTTTTATTGATTGGCTGTTAGACTGTTAAGCTGGGCAAGAAAGTTACTTCAAGTCTCTGGTATTTCTTTTGTTTTTCTCATTGGTCAGCCCCAGTGGGGTGATGGTCTTATGACCTTCTCCTGCATGATTGGCTCACCTCTTTGAAATGGCGCCGATTCTCAGTAAGGTGGGTTAAACAAAATGGAGTTGTCCCGTAAAAATGGAGTCACTCTGGTCCTTCGATGGTGTTCAACAAGGCCTTCTTTGATGGATGCTGTTCCCAGTATCTCCAACCCCATGAGATGACCACAAATTACTCTTAACTTCTTCGTCTCTCACTTCCTGCTTTGGAATTGGCAAATGAATGGAGGGAGTGTGTGGTGTGGAACACACTTCTCATGTTTCAGAGCTTCCCTTCTCTTTGGGATCATGAACTCTCAAGTCTTCACTGTCTAGATAGTTCTCTGATGCCTTGAATCAGATTAAAATAAACATTTTGTTTATCATTCCTAGAGGAAGTGATTCCAAAGTACACTACTCACTATAGCCAGAAGCAAAAATCCTAGTTTTGCACAATATTATAGTTAAGAGAATAAACTCTAGTTTGCTCATTTTCTGGATTCAAACCTAATTCTACCATATTGATTTTAAATTACATTGGGAAAGTCATTTAATCTCTCTGTACATTAATTTCCTTATTTTAATAGAAGAATAAAATCGTACTTACCTCAAGGAGTTTTGTGAAGATCAAAGTATTTAAAGCAATGTCTGGCATGTGGTAAGAACTCAATAAATTTTACCCATATTTGTGTTTAAAACAAACCCAAATGATAAAATATGTATTGAATACAAACTTGTACTGTGGTGTTACGGTAAATAATTTAAAAAGAAAAAGAAAAAATTTAGCCTTGTTTCTACGAAGACCTTAAAAATTCAAGACATATGATGCCAATGTCTACATTTACGCAGTCAACACAACGAAACAAATCAATTGTTAGCATCACAACCAGGTCACTTAAGGAGAAGAGACAATTTAGGAAAGTCTATGAATTCAGAGAGGACCTGGTACTACAGAAATTTCTGGAGAATATTTTGTGTAGTGCTCAAATTTTATCTGAGGTTAAAAGTCAATAGAAGCCGTGATTCAGAAATGAAAAGTTACACCTCTGTTGGTTAAAATGTTCAATATCCAAGAAATAGTTGGATATTGTTACTTTGAAGAAAATTTTGCTGAATAATTATATTTATTGTAGCTCATACGTAAGAGTCACACAATACTTTGGACCAGCAGTTGGTGTAATTGCTATGTCACTGGACTCCCATGTAGTCAACCATGATTTGAGTCCCTGACCTCGTGGCTTGAACTCACGCCAGGCACATGTGCGTGTGTGCCCAAGATCCCAAGAGGAGAATGGAGGAGAAGGGACCGCGGCGTGGTCATCCCCTCTAGGGGTTGATTTCTCACTTTCTATCTCTCTATCTCTCTCTGTCTTTCTGGCTAGCACACGTGCCCTATAGCAAAAACCTCTCCAAAAATATAAGAGTTACACAATACTTAATCTGTACAAGTTCCATTCTCAGTTGGTTAGTACAAATGACAAGAATGTCTTTCATGAAACCCCAATCTTCATGTGCTTTTCAACTAATTCTCTAAGCATGAAAAGAAGGCAGATCTGACTATAGAGGCAAGGATATTTTTTAATTCCAAATGCCCACAGTGAGTCATTGTGCTAGATATACATAAAAAAAATAACAATCAAAATCAAGAGATTATTTTCTTTTCCCAAAAATCAAATTTTTCTAAACCTATTGTTATCAAAACAAAACTTATTTTTCAGTTTAATGTCAAGTAGCAGTTTAAAGCTACTAAGAGCTAAAGTTAAAAGGCAACTGATTTCTTTCTGTATATGTAACCAGTGAGAGCGTATTATAATAGACCAGTGACAAAAAGTAAATAGTATTATTTGTTCTATCCTGCACAATAAAAATGAGCTGACAAAAAGAAATCTAAGATCAGCCTTCAAAGGCCAAATATTTCTACAGGATATTTAAAATGAATTAACTGTAGAACTCTATGCTGCTTCAGTGATAGTAAGAAGGAACAATTTGTCTCAGATGACAGACATTTCTCAAACACCTGCAGTGCCTGTCACCCACAGACCCCATTTCATCGAAATCTCATGACATTTCTGCAGAGCAGTTATTTCCATCTTCATATTTCATCTGAGGAAATGAAAGGTACATGAGTAAACAGTGAGAGTACAAAATCTGATTCCAAAGTTGCATCTCTTTCCATAACATGCCAGATTAAACCTTCATGATGTCACCATATATAATGAATGCCATTTTAAATATTAAGAAAGGCTTCACGAAGTGGAGAGGAAAATTGTAAAGCCTCGCAGGAGTTACAGAAATGAATTAAAGTGCTTGTTCTGAATGGATTAGAGTTGCGTGGGAGACGGAATTCAGATCATCATAACACAACAGAATACGTTCAGGTGCTGTGAGGATGCGGATAACATGTTTAAACCTAGAAACTGAACATGGTTTGGCAGTTGCCAGGGCCTATATTCTGGCTAAATAGAGCCAAGGACACACACACCTTAGAACTGGTATGACACAGTAACAGACCCATGTATGTGATGTTGGATAGAACTTTTTATTTTTACTTGGATGACATTGAGAACAAAATGTGACCTACTAAAATATTCTTTTTTTTTTTTTTTTTGAAATTTTTGCTATAGGGCACATGTGCTCACCAGAGGCAGAAAGAGACAAGAAGCCAGAAATCTCTACTCAGAGGTGTGGCCATGTTGCAATCCCTTCTCCTCCATTCTCCTTTCAGGATTTGGACACACACGCATACACACCCAGTGTGTTTTAAACTGCTGGGTACAGGACTCAAACTGTGGTCGATTATGTAGAAATCCAGCAACATCACCATTACATCATCTGCTGGTCCTTAGTATTTTTGACCTGCTTGTCAAGTTTATACATTTTGTTGCATTCTTTTTTAAGTTTTTTTTTGGCAAGCAAAGGTCATTAATTCTTTTCTTAGGATATTTTTTTAGAAGTTTCTTATGAAAAATTTGCTTCATTTGATAGGAGAAATACTTAGAATAAACTGAAGGCTAGACCTCAGTTACTACATATTAATATCACTGAAATACCCTGAGGTGGCCCAAATTCTGTCTTCACTGTGCTCCTTACCTTTTTCCATTTGCTTTCTCCCTAGTTTAGACCCTTTGGCACATCTTTGTTAAAGACACACCCAGGGCAGAAGAATAAAAGTTTCTAATTTGTTTCACCACCCCCTCCCATGTCAGCTCCCAATTTTAGAAAATTCAAGGCAAACTATCCATGGGGCCAGGGTGTCTTTACAGGAAAGTTTTCTTTATTACAACTTTTTGCTGATTTCATTACAAAAAATTGGAAGAGAGCAAAGGTCATTTCTTCCTGTAAACACCAAATTTCAATGTGAAAAGCCCATAAATAGACATACAGAGAAGTTGTCTGGAAAAGTTCAAGGAGGGTAAAGCAATTTGTACTTTATTCTCTAAAGTCTATAGCTCTGGGTGAGATGGCATAATCTTTCTGATCTCTTATTTATTTTTTGACTTGTAAATTACTTTAGAGACAAGGTTAGTCTCATGTTTCCTCTTGTTTCAACATTTTACTTGTATTGCAAAAAAATGCATTTGAAATTACCTTGGCACTTGAGTCATTCATTGGATTAAACTATTGGGTACTGTAAAAGTTGTGATGTATTTTTCTACGCAAAAATGTGTCATGACTTTTCCAATAACCCACTAATAATGCTCTGAAAATGACTTTTTAAAATATACCAACAGAAATGTCCTCTTCATCTTTTCATTCTGTATTTTAAATAGCCAATTTACAGGAAGAAAACAAACAAAAACCTCTTACTCCTAAAAAAGTATCCTGAGAAAGAAAAATAAAATTAGGGTAAGATTTAAATGTTTAATTTATTAAAAAATAAATTTAGGATGCCAGGCTTGAGTATGTACATATAATTATTTACTTAATTATCACACCACAATGAAAAGCCATATGGATTTTTAAAATATAGAAGTGCATGATTGCAGAAAAGCCTTTCTTGTTTTTATGTATTTTTTAAGTTTTAAGTGTACATAGTAGCCATCTAGCCACAAAACTCTTATCTCTGACATCTAGAAATTTTTGTTAGCTAATTTGAAGCAATTTCCAACATTTTGTGAATAAGAGAAACAGACTGATTAAAAATTTAAGAATACAGAATGACTATTAAAATATTTTTGACCTACATGTCAAGTATACACATTTTTTTTTGCATTCAGTTTGTTTTGCATAGAAAGGTTATTAATTATTTTCTTTCGCAGGATACCCTAACTACTTCAATAAATTTCTTTTTAGACATTTATGGCTCAGTCAGCTCCCTGAAGGAGGAAGTGCCCCACTTTCAGACAAATTATTTTTAAAGGACCATTTTTGTATATGAATCATCTCACATTTTAATGGGAAAAGAGCTTTTGTGACAATTGACACATTAAATAATAAATGGGGGTATCATTATATATAAATAAAAAATATATATAATTTCCAAGTTTTATTAATGTGAAGAAAATAGCATTACTGTAACACCATACATTTCCCATTCGGCAATGAAGGAAATGAATGTAGGACTTCAATATTCCCTTAATTTATTTAAAACAATAAAAACAGACCCAGAAGTTTTGAAGAGAAGAGAACTTTGGTTTCATTTAGTTGTTACAAACCTTCATTTGACAGCACCATCATAGAAATACAATAGAAGTCAGTCTTGAGAAACAGCAGATGAATTCAACAGATATTTTGGATCAGAATTTTTAATCAATTAATTATAAAAATTACACAAACATGAAAGTTAGCATGTAAGGAAATATTTGTTCCTTATCCTGAAATATGAATGAGCAGAAATTGGTTTTCCATGGTTGTGTCTCTGGAATCCATCACGATGAGATTTGCATCCCCAAATTGTACAACATCAGCAGGTCTGTGATTTATTAGTGTCCAATTCACATGCTCTTCTTCCACTTGACTGAAGTCTTCTGTCTTCTTTGAATTATTTCAAAATTTGGCTTGGTGAGTTGTTTCTCATAGATTATTATTCTGAAGAAGGATTATAGGGGAAAAACAAACAAACCAAGTAGTATGAGACAGTTAAATTTAAATACAACAGGAAAAGAATGCACAAATCATTTTTAGGATTCTACATTCTTACAGAGTTGTCCTTGAATGTAATTAATAGGAAATGAAAGGATTAGCTCGACTGGAGTTTTATGTAAAACAAGATAACAGAATTTTTTTTTTTTGAAACTCTAAAAGCCTTAGGTAAGGAACAAATATAGGTGCTCTCAGGACCAGCAGTTGGCGTAATGGCTATGTCATTGGACTCCCATGTAGCGGACCGCGGTTTGAGTCCCAGACCTGGTGGCTTAAACTCATGCCAGGTGCATGTGCGTGTGTGCTCAAGATCCTGAGAGGAGAAGGGAGAAGGGATTGCAGCGTGGCCATCCCCTCGTGGGGTGATTTCTCACTTTCTGTCTCTCTGTTTCTAGTGAGTGTACATGCCCTATAGCCAAAAAAACCCTCTCCAATAAATAAATAAATAAATAAATAAATAAAGGTGCATTGCTCCTAGTTTCCACGGACATGAGAAGCTAACTTCAGACCTGTATAGAGCCGAATATAATATAGTAGAAGGCAGTAAACAACAAGTGCATTAAATTACATACATGTGTTCGAATTTAGGGAACTCTCCAGTCTGTAGTTCTTTCAGTGTAACTTTTGTTATTGTTTTCAATGAGAAAGCTGCATGGAAACCTATTGCTAAATTTCTTTCTGATTACTATGAAGTTATAGGTTACACAGGTCTGGTTCCAGAGCTGGGGCTATTGAACTTGGAGGTGCATGTTGTTTACCAGAGAGACAGAGAGAGAGGGAAAGTGAGAAATCACTCCTCACTGGGGGTGATCACTCCATAATTCCTTCTCCTCCTTTCTCTCAGGATTTTGGGAATACGCCCTAGGCATGTTTTTCAAGCTGTCTGTTCCAGGACTCAAACTGCTCAGTTGGCCACATGGGATCCAGCTGCCGTAACCACCATGTCACCTGGCAGGCCTGTGTCTTATCTTCATCTTAGTTGTAATTTTTAAATTAATATATAATAGTTGTACATATTTATGGGATATAGTATCATTATTCAAATCATGTTTTGTTATGTAATGATCAAATCAGGACAATAAATCTCTCCGCCATCTGCAACATTTATCATTCCTTTGTGTTGTGCACATTCAAAATCCACTCTTCTAACTATGTCTAACTACAGAAAGAGCTCACGTTGGAAAAAATAAGTCAGTCTTATGGAAGTAGCATTGATGAAATGGAATATAAATTAAATCAAATGGGTTTCCTCCTCCTTCAACTCAGAAAGAAGTAAGTCACTAACTTAGGTCCCTTCCCCAAAGACATAAAGCAGTAGGAATATTGACACCAACCTGCATTTCCTGTTTCAACGGAACTTAGAGGCACATTTTTATCCTGTGAGAAGGAAGTTTGGACATCAAATGAACTTTTCTATGAATAAAAACCAGAAAGATATGAATACCACACTTTTCTAAACTTAAGACATTAAACATTAAAATGCCTTGGATTAAAATTGCTCTTTTCTAATTTTTTTTTATTTTGGTTAAAGTTCACTTTGTTGAGTTTTGTTTGTTTGTTTAATAAGAAACATTGACTTAAACTTGTATTTCTAAACAGTATTTGGTATTTTAATCAGTGAACTAATCCTGAATGCTGACTAGGTTATGCACTTGCTCTAACGAATAGTGAAAATGGAACTACAAAGAGTGTATGATATTTTAGTCACATTGACTAAATTCCGTTTTTAGACATAGAGGGAATTCTCTGAACTTTGCCAGCAAAGTAATTCATGAACTTTTTTTTTTTAGGTTTTTGAACATCAACCAAGAGAATAGACACCTTGGTTGGCCAGATAGGCCCAGTACAAGGAGGTGCTTTTTCTCCAATATTTAAACTTTAGACAAGAGAAGTCATACCATACTCAAGTTCTTATAAAATGTCTTGTACAATAGCACGCAATCTCAGTTACTTTACTTTTATTAACAGTGTATTATCTAAGGAAGAGACACGTGTACAGAATGACAATCATAGAATTAGATGATAACAGAAGTGAAGAGATATAAACACAAAGCAATTTAATGTAGACTTACTATCATTTTTATTATGGCCCCTTCATGGTGGTATTGTTACCCCTCTAAATGAGCCTTTTAAAAAGATTACATTTAGTGATCATGGTCTGGTGATCACAAAAGGAGACAAAGAATACAGATGAATGAAAACATTGCACCAATCTTATGTGACTAGATATTTAAGATCTAGGGTGCTTGTTTCAGTGGCAATTCATAAAAATACACACAAAGGCTATGTCTTAAATATCATAGATAAAAGGTTATAGGAAAGGTTTTATGCTTTGGAAAGCTATATCATACATGGACTTTAAAATATCCTTAGTGATTAAAACAAGTACTGCCATTGAAACTTAATAGGTGGAATCTGAGAAATTTCTTTCAGGAACTACAGGAATGGAAAAAACACGTATTTAAACATATATAAATATAGCTTATTATTTTAAATATTTTTAGAATAAATTCAAGTGAATACCGTAAGTAGAAATTTGACTATTTCATCTTTGTCATGAAAATACACGGAACCATGCTAGATGAAAACTTTGGGGACTGGGTCTAGCAGTTGGCATAATGGCTATGTCGCTGAACTCCCATGTAGTCCACTGCGGTTCGAGACCCAGACCTGGTGGCTTAAATTCACACCAGGTGCAGGTGCGTGCATGCCCAAGATGGGAGAATGGAGGAGAAGGGATTGCAGTATGACCATCCCCCCTGAGGAGGGGGTGATTTCTCACTTTCTGTCTCTCTGTTTCTCTCTCTTGTCTTTTTGGCAAGCACACATGTGCTATAGCAAAAACCTCTTAAAAAAAAAAACTTTGAGGGGATCATTTACTGGGAAAATGAAGAATAGATTTATATTTGAGGTGTTCCCTTAAATTGGACAAATGTAAAAATAAGAAAATTCTCTGGTAGAGTACATTAGTAACTTCTCTGTGTCCAGTTGAAAAAGTTGGAGTTTTATGCGGTTTTGTTTCTCTTCGAGTTTAATTGAACTCATAGGTATAAACTCTCCTAGAATTATTCTTACTAGTGCTTAAAGCTAAATTAAAAACTGAATTCTCACCTTTCTCAGTCTGCTAATACCATAAGAAATTAACAGGATAGTTCCAATGATACCAGCCATCGCCGCAAAAACAATGCCTATTATCACTATGGGAGGAAGAAAACAGAGCAGAAACATTATAAAACTATGAAATGAACTTTCACATACCAATTGAAAAAGTCAAACAGGTCAAGGAAGAGTAATATCACCTGTCTTTGTAGAGAAAATACATTATTATATTGGGTGGTCATCATGACACATTTTTCATAGAAAAAAATGCATCATGATTTTTCCAACAACCCTATACATTTAGGTACATGTTATCTTTTCAAAAATTAAGTTTTTCACAATAACCTGATGGGAAGCAAACTTGGAGTGATGTCTAAGGTCACACAGCTAGTCAGTGACAGACGTGAGAACTGATGGTTCTGATCCCAAGTCCAGTGCTCTTTACAGACATCATTATAGATAACAGCTCAGTAGGCATTCTACCCGAGATGGGGAAAACCACCAACTTTTTCATATTTGGAACATTATCAGAGAAAATGATAGTGTAAAAGGTGTTTTGGATGGATCACGGAATCCTAAGTTTGGAAGGAAACTGGTATAGTTTATGAATGAGAAACAGAAGTCTAATGAGATGAAGTTACTAGACTAGATCAGACAACCAGTTAAAAGTGGAATTATAAGGGACCAGCAGATAGCCTAGTGGTTACGTCATTGGATTCCTACATGGTCAACCGTGGTTCGAGTATGGATCTGGTAGCTTGAAAGTCACGTTGGGTGCGAGTGTGTGTATGTGCCCAAGATCCTAGGAAGAGAAGGGATTGTAGCATGGCCATCCTCCCCGGGGTGGGGAGGAGACCTGTTTCTCACTTTCTCACTTACTGACTGTCTCTTTCTTCAATGAGCACATGTGCCCTAAGGTAAAAACCTCTAAAAAGTAAAGTGGAATTACAGCTATAATTGTGGTCCTCTATATTCTATACTTGTTTTCCTTTCGCAAGATCCTTATGAATAATGCCAATATAGCCAAGAAAAATACTTTGCAAATTTTCCACATATTGGAAATGAAACAACCTAAATCTACATCACGGATGCCCTCCATCTTCATGGCCTTTCTGTAGTGCTTTCAAACGAAGTAAAGAGAACTGAAGCCTAGACATAAGGGTACAATGGCACATTTATTTGGTTGCTTTATATTCCAAAGCTCTGTTGTTAAATTTTTTTTGTTCCAAAAGTTAAAGTAGCTTTGTTTACAAAGTAGCTTTTCCTCTCCCTGGTATTGCCTAGCCTTCTCCTCCACTTAGCTTTATTTCGAGAGATAGTTCTGACTTCTGTAGACTGTTTTTTCCCGTGTGAGGTATAGACACAGATCAAGTGTGAGGGAGGGTTAGAAATAGAATAGTGGGGTCAGCAGATGGTGTAGTGGTAATGTTGCTGGGCTCCCACATGACTGACCATGGTTTGAGCCCCAGACCTGGTGGCTTGAAAATCATGTGTGTGTGTGTGTGTGTGTGTGTGCCCAAGATCCCAGGGGAATGGAGGAGAAAGGGTTGTGGCGTGGCCATTAACATACCTGGTTCTGAGAAGATGTGGTCAATTTGTTTTCTTGGTTCTAAGGAGAAAAAAATTTCAAAATAAATTTAGAAAGTGAGAATAAATGAAGCATGCTTAATTATATTTTTTTAGAAATAGATTGCTTCTTAACTATGTTTTGTATTCTTGATCAACTTTCAATATTTAGCTAGTGAATTTACGAGGAAATATATCAGCCTACCATTAGTAATTCAAATAGCTACGTACATAACTACCCAAGAAATATTCATAGGTGAGAAATTAGCAAATCTTTTCATTGAGGGAAGAGACAGGAGAGAGTATTGAAAAAAATCACTTTTTGAGTTCCACAAGAAGTAGGGCTTTTTGTTATTTGTTTGTTTGTTTTAGGGCACCCATGCAGAAAGAGGCAGAGAGAGAGAGAGCGAGAGAAAGTGAGCCATTGCTCTCTAGAGGGGTGACCATGACACAGTCCCTTCTTCTCCACTCTCCCGTTGGGATTCTGGGCCTGCAAACACACACACACTTGGTGTGTTTTTCAAAGTTCTAGGTTTGAGACTTGAACTTTGCAGTCAGCTATGTGGGATTCAGCTGCCTTACCCACCATACCACCAGCTGGCCCTGTAAAAAATATTAAAATGGGGGCTGGGTGGTGGCACAGTGGTAAAATGTGACCATCTGAGAGGCTGACTTACCTGGGAAGGTTCCAGGTTCATGTCTAGAGACCTCCCTGGGTACAGTGGGCACACACATGCCCATGATCTGGGGCTGGCTGAGGCTGGGGTGGGATTGCAGTGTCAATATGTTATTGGGGTCTCTCACTCTCTCAGCTTCTTTCTCTCGCTGTCTCTCTCACTCATGGAATTTTTAGAAAGGCAAAATCACAATGAGAAAAAACACATGTTGAGCCATTATTCCACACAGACTCCGGTCTAACCAGAAAGGGTCATATGGCTATCGGTTTCCAGATTTATACCACAGTCAATCTGAATCCAGAACTTTATTGTAACCCATTGGTGCTTTTCCCCCCTAGTTCCCGGTCTGTAGCCCATTGGTGCTTTTTCCCCCTAGTTCCCTGTCTGTAGACGTTTCTAGCATGGTTGGCTTAAAGTTCCGCCTGTTCCTGTCTGTCCACATCTTAGATTTCCTCGCTCTGTTGTCCATGAACCATTTCAAATCACGAAGCCCACTAACTACCAGAGCCATATACTTTTCTGGAATTTAATTCCCACAAACAGCATATATTCCACTATGTTGTATGTTGTGGCCAAGGAGTCAGTTACATTTATCCTTCTTTGGGAGTTCTGAACAAGGAATAATTGGGGCTTCCTTCTCTTTCCTTGTGACCATCAATAGCCTTGGTTTGTATACAAACTTTGGAGTAAAACGGATGGGGTTTCAGTCATGGGTATACCTCGTCCCAGTTGTGTGCCTTGGACAAGTCGCTTAATTTCTCTATGCTATGGCATTCTCGTGGGGAAAACGAGGAAGATGGTACCTCTCTCTTCAGGTTTCTGTGAGGATAGACTGCACATGGGCACTTAGACTCTCTCTTGTTCTACTTTCAACCAACATTTGTATGTAGATTTGCATCACAATGAGGTCATCAGAGCAACAATTTCAAATAGGAACAATCTGGGGCTAGCAGGTAGCATAATATTTAAGGCACTGGACTTGCACATGGCTGACTGTGGTTTGAATCTCAGACCTGGTGACTTGAAACTCACGCCGGGTACTTTGCATGCATGGCCAAGATTCTCAGAGGAGAATGGAGGAGAAGGGACTTTGGTGTTGCCATTCCCCCTGGGGGGAGGGGGGGTGATTTCTCATTTTCTGTCTCTCTCTGTCTCTCCAGAGAGTGCACATGCCCTATAGCTAAAATCTCTTGTTCAGAAAGGAAGGAAGGAAGAAGGGAGGGAGGGAGGGAAGGAAAGAAGGAAGGAAGGAAAGAAAGAAGAAAGAAAATAAAAAAAGGAAAGGAAAGAGAAAAGAAAGGAAAAGAAAAGAGAAGAGAAAAGAAAAAAAACAAACCTCTTTCTCCTCCTGGGTGGGCATGGCTTATAGTAACAGCAGATTCCGGAGCTTTTGTTTGCGCATTATGGCTGGGCGGGGATGGGGGTATGGTGGCCGTTGCTGTGTAAAATAAAAATTGAGACGGGAATTGAGAATGAGTCGACTGAGTAGACCACAAAGCATATCACAAAAGACAGATAGGTCCCAGATCCCTCCCAGAGGCAGCTCCTGAACTTCTTCTTCCTAGAAAAATAACAAGAGAGGGTGAATGCTGCCTGGCCAACCTTATCTCAGCTCCCAGCCTGGCTTACAGCTACCACATGGTGGGCACCAACGATGGCTCACACTCTGAGCGAAGCACTTGTCCCTGCATCTTAATTCATCGGTAGAGAATCACTGGGAGGTACAATTATTAACCCTATTTCATCCAGCAGGTGTCATAGTCATTAAGGCACTGGACTCCTGCATGGAGGACTGTGGTTCAAGTCCCAAACCTGATGGCTTGCTTCCTTACATTCCCTCTGTCTCTCTCTGGTGAATGAACCCTATTTCAAAACTAAGGGGTTAGAAGCCACGCTGGGGACCAGAGTAAACAGCTGACACAGGCCAAGCTCAAGTCTGAGCTCACCTCGATCACCCACAGGCCTCTTCACCCCTGCAACATCAGAGCCCACCTTACCCGGCCTGCCGTTTCATGGTCCCATTCACCGTTTCTGTGCTTTGCTAGATTGTTTTGATTTCTTTAACTCACAGCACTATTTTGGGGAGATATGCCAGAGGAGAGAATTTCTCTGGAGAAGGGATTGTTTCTTTTACCTTTCCCTTTCTCCGTGTTTGTCAGTTTCCCTGCAGGGACACAGTGTCATATCACAATAATGACCTGGGAGCAACTATTAGTAGGAACACATTCGACTTCCCTTCTGGGAGGGATTGTTCTGTAGTAACAGGTTATTCTGCAGCTCTTGTAGCAGCACTGGGAGGGCTCAGTGATGCATCTCTGCAAACAATGTCTGTACGGGTCAGAAGTTGAGAAAGGGATCGAGAGTGAGGTGACTGAGTGGACCACAAAGCATACCAGAGAGGAGCTATGTCCCATGTCCTTCTGAGTGGCAGCTCTGGAGTTTCCTCACACTTATGTGTGAGGAAAGTGTGCCTTGATCTTTCTCATTGGGAAAATGATAATTAATCTATTCTTCAACATGTCATCACGAGGACTAGATTAGGTTAAATATACATAGTGTGGGTGTGCCCGGGGTGTGAGCATAGGACTCGGCATGCAGTGAGCATTGCACACGTGTTGGCTATTATTGTTAGAATTCGTTTTTAAAAAATACTTATTTATTTAATTTTATTTACTCATTCATTTATTTTAATTTGACCAGAGAGAAACACACAGTGAGAGAAAAGGAAAGTGAGAAAGAAGCTACCAGGTCCGGGACTTGAACCATGGTCAGCCATGTGGGAGTGTTCAGTGCCCTAACCACCACCCCACCCGCTGGCCCCTATTGTTAGCATTCTTATAAAGGGATAATTTCAAGCTGCGTTTGGGAAATTGTCCCTGTTAAAGAAAGGTAGAGGGCTGGCCCTATAGTCTAGTGGGTAAGGGAGCTGGATCCACATTGTTCACTGTGATCTGAGTCCTGGTCCTGACAGTTTGAAAACACATGGAGCACATGCATGCCCGATATCTCAACAGGCTGGAGATGGGAGGAAAAGGAGTTGCAGCATGATCACACCCCTCTGGGGGATGCTTTCTCTCGCTCTCTTTCTCTGCCTTTCTTTGCAAGTACATGCACCCTATGGGAAGTAGGAAAAAAAAAGATGGAAACTCAAAATGATGATACAGGACTGAAGTTCTGCCCCATATCTCCCTGTCTCTATCTCCTAGGTACAGTCCTACTCCCCCCCCCAAAAAAAATGGAACAAATATAAAATACTATTAAATTCAATTTCCTCATAGCTTGATAGAAAGTGAGACACTTCTAAGTGACTTTTTAAAGTAAAATGTCAACGTTGAGATGGAATTGGCTCCTTGCAAGCTTATTGGAAAATGAGCTTTGGCAGAAGGCCAGTAAAACATCTCAGCATGTCCGTTACAGGCATGTTCTTTAATTATCAGAAGGGAAAAAAAATTAAGTGAAAGACATTTATATAAAACTAACAAGTTAAAAATGTTAAAAGTTGGGGCCAGCAGATGGCATCGTAGTTAAGGTGCTGAACTCCCATGTGGCTGATCAAGATTTGAGTGTCAAACCTGGCAGCTTGAAACTCATGCCAGGCAAAAGCATACCAGAGAGGAGCTATGTCCCATGTCCTTCTGAGTGGCAGCTCTGGAGTTTCCTCACACTTATGTGTGAGGAAAGTGTGCCTTGATCTTTCTCATTGGGAAAATGATAATTAATCTATTCTTCAACATGTCATCACGAGGACTAGATTAGGTTAAATATACATAGTGTGGGTGTGCCCGGGGTGTGAGCATAGGACTCGGCATGCAGTGAGCATTGCACACGTGTTGGCTATTATTGTTAGAATTCGTTTTTAAAAAATAATTATTTATTTAATTTTATTTACTCATTCATTTATTTTAATTTGACCAGAGAGAAACACACAGTGAGAGAAAAGGAAAGTGAGAAAGAAGCTACCAGGTCCGGGACTTGAACCATGGTCAGCCATGTGGGAGTGTTCAGTGCCCTAACCACCACCCCACCCGCTGGCCCCTATTGTTAGCATTCTTATAAAGGGATAATTTCAAGCTGCGTTTGGGAAATTGTCCCTGTTAAAGAAAGGTAGAGGGCTGGCCCTATAGTCTAGTGGGTAAGGGAGCTGGATCCACATTGTTCACTGTGATCTGAGTCCTGGTCCTGACAGTTTGAAAACACATGGAGCACATGCATGCCCGATATCTCAACAGGCTGGAGATGGGAGGAAAAGGAGTTGCAGCATGATCACACCCCTCTGGGGGATGCTTTCTCTCGCTCTCTTTCTCTGCCTTTCTTTGCAAGTACATGCACCCTATGGGAAGTAGGAAAAAAAAAGATGGAAACTCAAAATGATGATACAGGACTGAAGTTCTGCCCCATATCTCCCTGTCTCTATCTCCTAGGTACAGTCCTACTTCCCCCCCCAAAAAAAATGGAACAAATATAAAATACTATTAAATTCAATTTCCTCATAGCTTGATAGAAAGTGAGACACTTCTAAGTGACTTTTTAAAGTAAAATGTCAACGTTGAGATGGAATTGGCTCCTTGCAAGCTTATTGGAAAATGAGCTTTGGCAGAAGGCCAGTAAAACATCTCAGCATGTCCGTTACAGGCATGTTCTTTAATTATCAGAAGGGAAAAAAAATTAAGTGAAAGACATTTATATAAAACTAACAAGTTAAAAATGTTAAAAGTTGGGGCCAGCAGATGGCATCGTAGTTAAGGTGCTGAACTCCCATGTGGCTGATCAAGATTTGAGTGTCAAACCTGGCAGCTTGAAACTCATGCCAGGCATACGTGCGTGCATGCCCAAAATCCTCAGAGGAGAATGGTGAAGAAGGGATTTAGGTGTGGCCATACCCTCCTGGGGGGTGATTTCTCACTTTCTGTCTCTGTCTCTGTCTCTCTAGCAAGTACACATGGCCTATAGCAACACACTCTCTCTCTCAAAAATGTTAAAAGTTTAACCAAAGCCTCTGAAAGAGTTTTAACTATGACTACAAATACTCCTCCTCCTCCTCCTTCAGTTTTCCTGTTTGACAAGACCTTGGGGACTGCCTAAGTCAGAACCCCATGAGGTTCAGATAGGGAGGTATGCCCAGTCTATGGGATGATGCCTCACTTTTCTGTCGGAACAAGGCTCTGCGTGATCCACCTGCCTCCCCACCTTCATTGCTTGTCATTTGTCCTTTCCTCATGGAGCTCCAGCCATTCTAGACATCGCTCAGTTCCTCAAATACACCATCTACAATACTCTTATGTCCAAACCTTTGTGCCTGCTCGTCCTTCCCCTGAAAGGTCTCCCTCCCTGTCCTTGTTTAGTGTTCTCTTTTCAGGTCTCAGTGCAATGCCACTTTCTTTGGGAGGTGTTCCTGGCACCCCTTAAGTGGGTTTAGATTCCAAGAAGTGCCAAGTCTCTGGTATTTAGTATAAAATATTTAAAGGCTCAATAAAATCTATGGTTGACTGTTTAGAATCCAGATGTGCATTCCTCAAGACTCGATGCTCACTGGGATTCTTGGCTATTCATGCATTTGCTCATTCATTTACAATGTCTGTCTGTTTCTTCCTCCCTCCCTCCCTTCTTTCCTTCCTTCCTTCCTTCCTCCTTCCTTCCTTCTTTTATATGCCTACTATGGACTGTGTACTAGAAATACAACAATAAACAATGCACGTCTAGAATTCCTCCAGCAGTCTTTCATTTCAAGGAAATTCCGACTCAGTAGAGAAGAACAAATAGTTAATCTAAGTATAACAAAGGATTTTAGTACAACGGTGCACATGAAGGTGTGAAGGCAAGTAGTTGATTCTACCTGTTGGAGGAGGAGGGAGAAAAGCCATAGGTGTTCTTTGAATCTGTCTTAATGGAAGCCTGGGATTTCATCAAGCAGATCGTGTAGCATTTAGGTACAGAGTTGGAGGGCCAGTCATGTCCTGGAATTTGGGACATCATTGTAAGCAGATCGTGTAGCATTTAGATACAGAGCTGGAGGACCAGTCATGTCCTGGAATTTGGGACATCATTGCAAGATGGGAGAACTGCAAGTTATCTGTGAGGTAGCAGCAGAAGATGTGAGGAGGAGAAGACTAGAGAGATGGGTGAAGAGTGACTGGAAAGCCTGGAAAGGCAGCGAAGCCCCACAAGTCGTGGACCGGATTATGGGATTTGGATTTTGTCCTTAAGGCGCTGGGAAACCATTACAAGGTTTGAGGTGTATTTTCACTGAGAAAGATCACTATCATTAGTACAGAGATGGCATGGGAAAAAAGATCATGCCCAGAGCCCTGCCAAGAGATCCCACCTCGGGGGACTAGTGGGTAAGGTGCTGGACACTCCCACATGGCCAACCATGGTTCGAGTCCTAGGCCTGGTGGCTTGCTTTTCTCACCCTGCCCCCATGTCTCTCTCTGGTCAAAT